AATTTTTAATACGGTCGAAATGAGGCTTTAGTTGAAGCTAAATGTACTGAACTGTTATTCAGGGATAAGTTGGCCTTTTCTTCAGGCAGTACACGGGTCGCTATTTACACATCTCCAATGAACATTAATCGCCGATCATAGTTTATCGATAATCAACCACATAGTTAGTAAATAGTTAAAGGACGAATTCACGATTAGAATGAAGGTCGAAGAAGGAGTAATTCACCTAGTTGAGGGACCCGCGGACCTCCTAAGGGTGGACTGAAGCGCAATTGGCACCGAAGGAGTTGACCTCGGCGACCTATTAAGGCTCAATCTTGGCGCGGTGGGCCAGTGCACGCCCACCGATCATCTGATCACTCGCCGCAGGTCTATACGTGGCGAGTGATTAGATAGCGAGAGAGCGTAGTGTTGAAGAGGGCACAGCGATGAGAGTCGCATCAATGCTCAAATCAACGGGCAAGGAAGGGGTCCCATTTCTCGGGTTCTGGGCCGTTTCTCATGGTTTTCCTTCTTTCGTGTACCACTCACCATCCCTAGGTTAATTTGAAATGGGTTGCTTTTCATCGTGAATTCGTCTAAGTAAGAAAGATAGAAATCAGCATAATAAGCAGTTAGTAACAAAAGCACGACCGCAATCACAAACGGGTGCAACAGAACATCACAGAAGCAGCACAACTTCGAAAGGAAGCTCATAATAGAAACGTGTAGATTAGTAACACAATCGCCATTTTTGAAAAGAACCCATTACAATTGTAATCCGATCAACGAAACACAACGGAACAACAAAAGCACTACAACACTAAAGCGATTACGTTACCTTAGGCAAGGATTGCGGAAGCCGGAAGCCAGCATGACCTGGAAAGGCGAGCGCAAAAACGACTGGTTGCTTCGAAACAGCTTCAAATGTTTCACAAGAATGCTGGGTTGTGAACAAAACTTTCGCCCCAGGCGGGACTAGAACCCGCACCTCTCGCTTTCCGGGCAAGTGCGCTACCAGTTACGCTACCGGGGCACCATTTCATCCCAACTCAGCTTTTCATGGTATACTTACCATGGGGCTGCCGGATGGCTCTCTCTTCCTATGGTATGCATGACCACTGGCTATAATCTCTTTGCACTCACCACGGTAGTGACGTGTAGCTGCGACGCTCGCGTGGAGAAAAACAGAGCTTAGCTACGGGGACTTGGACATGGACGCGAGGCTGACAATTGACTGCCTGTAAGTGAGATTAGATAATAATAAAGTAGTGTCTGCATGCAGTGTAGTTAATAGTATAAATGTAGGTGATTGGCCACCACCAAACAGTGCACATAGGTAAGAAAACTGCAGATGAAGTACAAGTACGAGGGAAAAAGGGATCAATGCAAAATAAAGATAAAGACTTCACCAAAGCAGCAACGGTGGCACACCCAAACCTTGAAAAGGGCGAGCGCAAAAACGAGCTCTTGTTGCTTCAAATCAGCTTCAACATAGCGTGTGTGCAGCGTACCTATCCAAGATCCAGAGAACCGTACATCCGGACGGTTCGCCATTTACGGTGTCTGAGTAGCTGGCCTGGCGGAGCCAAATAAGTTGAAGACCCGTCATCCGGTGTGGGATTGGAGACAAAGATGCTGTTCGCGTGGACAGCCGGATAATCACGAGTCATAGGGAGCGATTCGGCTGTGAGCTCCGAGTTGGATAAGCGTCTTCCCGATGCTATGGACATGTGCTTCGTCCGCGAATAAAGGACAGTGTCTGTAAGATCGGTCTCAACCTTGACGTGCCCGGGAAAGCGCCAGGGACGTTGCACGAAGACTTGAAGAGCGTTAACATCCACCCCGATCAAGCATTTAATCGGGAAAAGTGGCGTCAACACATCAGAAAAGCGGACCCCGCCTACAAGCGGGACAGACGCTAAAGAATAAAAAATAAAGAAGAATAAGAAGAAGAAGAAGTCTCTTTATTTCCAACCTAATATAATACAATAATTAGCGGATCTCAGGTTATACACCGACCGACCCAGCAATTTGAAAGTGAGAGGACTTTATGTTCAACAAGACTGCGTAAAAAATCTGCTCTGCATGCGTTTAAAACTTGTTTGCATTTACTAGTAGTAGTAACACCTTGACCTTGATCTTGTTTTATAAACGAACGAATTGACGGCGATTTTCATTTGCTATGTATCAGCTCATAGGCGATTTCAAGACGGCTTTGGTGAGTCTAATAATAAATTCTCATTTCTTGTCAGTGTAAACGACTCTTACTTTTATCCGAAGTAAAAGGCTTTTCTCCACAGAAAAACGACAGGGGACAGAGAGAGCAGTGGTGCTCCACATTCGTAAGATTCTTTCAGAGGGTTCCTTCACGAAAAAGAATTCAGTAGTGTTTTTGGTCATTCAATGGCATCCCGAATCTATGCTCGAAAAAATTCTTTGTTAAAGAGAGCTTTCTAAAGGCTACCTGATTTGTGGTGTGGGCTTCGAGTTAGTATAGCAAGAGGTGACTAAAACCTCCCTTTTTACTTCTACTTCTTGCGGCTTTTTATGAATTTCGAACCCGACAACCCATTTGATATTCTACACGAGCCTTACAACGTTCCTCAAACTCCACTTCCGAAACTGGAAAAAAGACAATTGGGAAACCCGAGTAAGTATTCGGTGCCAATGTCTATCATCAAGACTGTAATATGATTCCCACTGTTATGATTTTGAGATGAACCAAAATCAAACTATTCCCCGTAACTGACTTGTATTTAGTTTATTTGAGAAAATAGGCTTTCATCCAGTAAGGGGGCATGTGGTGCGACAGTTCATATTGCATGAAGAAATCCACTTTTTTTCAGGGAGGGAAGCTCCGGGGTGGGTGTAAAAGCTTAAGCGAAATGGTTCACGCACCCTGGGAGTTTCCCCTTGCAAAAATTGGAATTTCTGAAGCCGACAAGAACGCAGCACATGCCCCCTTTTGTTTTTACCTATCTATCACTCACTTGATGAAATTCAGATGCTGATTTTTATTGCCGATATCCATATGGTTCATAAATGCTGTAATATTAGTTAGAATTTCACGTTTCAGATTTTGTCCATTCTGAGCGGGTCAGCTGCGCAATATCCTACAGGTGAGTATGAAATAAAATTGTTGGTTTATTGTAGTTGAACTATTCAGTTTGTTACACAACGTTGTTCCTGGATCTTTAATATTTCGTATGTACTTTTTTTCGAAAAACTCCATTACGAGTTTTTCCGGAATAACATCATAAGCTTTGCAGAATTTCTTTTGAAGCGCACAAAAAATTGTAGATGTGAACTTCTTTGTGAAAGTGCATAATAGGAGAACCCAAAATTAACAATCAGTTCCATGAAAATTCTGCAACGTTTTAGTCCACAGATGTAATTTGGATCGATCGGATATTCGTTTTCAGATCTGGATTTTTCCGTAGACAAAATTTTTGCTATTGTTTATTACTTGTGAGCACATATCTAACACTATAGCGAAATTTGGGATCTATTCGACCATAAACTAAGAAACTAGGAAGCTTTGAAAATTGGACCAGCTTCCTAGTTTTTTTTTGAGCTTATGTCGAAACAATTCCAAATTTCTTAGTTATGTCGAAAAAGTTTATGATCTTGCACAACATTATATCCAACGTTTTGATAAAAATGAATATATGTCAAGTATTTTAGAAATGATTGACACTTACCTAGCAGCTTGCTGAGACCAGCGCCGATTCATTGTTGCACTTGTACACAAATACTTGTAATGCTAACAGCAACACACAATAAAATGGCGGGTTCAAGCATAATTAGGAAGGGGAAGGTTGTCTGAAGTAACCTCTAGCAGTGGGTAGTAGAAATATGCTGTTGCAGCGGTAATGCAGGCCTTTGAATTTCGATGGTGGCAATTGCCATCGCTAGGGCGGAAAAGGGAATAAAGATAAAGTGGAGTAAAATAAAGGCCAGCAAATAATAAACACATTTCCACCTTTTTGAAATGTACGAAGTTTGTAGCTTTTTTGTGGCCGCCGCTGCTGATATTCAGACCCTACTATTTTCTTCACAGAGAATTCTTACTGAAATGCAGCGGATTAAAATACTCGCATTATTGCAAAGGCCACGCCCATCTCACAAACTTCTCACCTCACTCAGTGTGAGCGAGCACGGAAGGTGGGTGCTTTGTTATCGTATTATGGTGGGTAAATGAGCAGATTAGAAGGCCCAAACAGTATTTTCTATTCAAAAATTTGCCCAAATAAGTTCACTTAAGGTTCCACAAGTTCTTCAAACAGGCTGTTCGGATTGTCTCTGGAAGTAAACTCTGTAAGCATCTCATGGTTGGCCAAGATCCCACATTCAGCGCGGGAACATTCTTTGATCTTTACAGTATACTTCCTTCTAAGACCGATATCAGACCGCGAATCGAGCGATTCGCAAAGTTTGACACCGGCCTTATCAGCTTCAGGCGCACCAAACCAGTAAGCAAGCTCTTACTCGTTTTGAATCTTTTCTCTTATCGCAACCTTTCAATGATGTTCCAGTTATCCTTTTTCTATTGTACTTTTCTGAGCGCTCTATGCGCTCATTTCGGACTATGTGAAATTCACCGAAATATGTAGACACTGAGCGTAGGAAGGTGGTGGTACCGGCAATTTGCTGCCTTTGCTATTCTAATTCATCTAGAGGTCAAATCCTCACTCGATTTTTGTCCAGCACCCCTTCCGGGCAGGTCGATTAGAGGCGAAGTTCACGATGAAAAGGCAGCCCACTAGAAATAAGGTACAGGTGGTGAGTGGTGCAGGGAGAAGAAGAAACCATGAGAAACGGCCCAGAACCCGAGAAATGGGACCCCTTCCTTCCGTTGATTTCCGCATTGATGCGACTCTCATCGGTGCTGTCCTCTTCAACGCTAACGTTCTCTCTTGTAGATCTGCTAGAGTCAGTCGGTGAGAAGTCAGTCAATTGGTGTGGAGTGCAGCGGCGCGACCGGCACGGAAATCATCCTGCTAAACCGCCGGGGAGAACTTCGCTGCGACTATGCACTGTACCACCTTTAGAGGGCCGCTTGCCTTTCGACTTGGTACTCTTATCCTTCTTCGACCTCCGCTCTTATCGTCGAATCCTCCTTTAATTGCAGTTTTGCGTGCAACCGATTTTCACATCGCCTGGTCTTCATAACTTTTTTATAGTTCCAATCGCGTCTAAGTGACATTACTGCTATGATGTGAAGTAATGCATCCCAGATGGACTGCGCATCTTGGAGTATTTGACACTTCATTTTCCACGCCGCATGATTCACAAACGCGATACCGGCTATTGATCTAATCGGTGCGGTGGAATATCTCTCCAAAATTACAGGGACTCAGAAGGCCATTCACTGCTGCGTCAGAGCACCTTCGATCGCGGACCACATAGCGGATTTTGTGAAGGAAGTTTTCCACTGCCTAAATTTTATCCTGAGGGGTCGTTGCTCATGAAAGTGAGAAAGGAGTAGGCCAACTGAGAACGAGGATAAAATGAGTTCGCACGAAGCTGAAATATTAATATGAATTATTGAAGGCATGCTCGGCGCGAACCACTTAGTCTTAACCGTCAGCGGGCACTTCCTACTTAAAAACGTGGCACTAAGATGCAAGGCTATGCTATGCTCTCTCTAGTCTGACTTCTCTAACCCTCTCCGCGCTCAAAATTATATCAACGCCCTACTCTCCGAGAAGGCTTGTATTTCCTGTGCAACTAACAATTTTCTTTCCTTTTCCCTCCACATGTAGTCCACCTCAAATCCCTACTTTCCGTATTTGAGTCTAATTACCATCACCAATTCAATCCTGATTTTTGCGTATGAGGTCGTAACAGCAACCTATAGTCTCTTTCCTAGTAAATTATCGAGAAAGTAAAATCCTTACTGCTATCACGTCAGCGAAAACGGGTTATCAGTAGCGCAGATGGCTTTCGCGATCTTCAATATTGCCGCTCAAAAAAATCATTTATGTAACAGAGCCTAGCAGCTGGTGCGCTGTTCGCTGCTTTGCCAAGCATGAACGCGATGTGAGAAATGCGACACGAAAAGGAACAGATGAGGAGTTTTACAGTTCCACCTGTGGGCCCTTGTGCGACTGTGCGCTGTGGTTTCAACACCAAATGCATTGAATTCAACGGAACGGCTGGATGCTTCAACACAAGTGGGACCATGCAATTATCACATCGTATTTTGAACTTATATCATATTTTGAACTAAATCTTCCGAAGTATTGCACTCATGCCACAAAGACTTTTTAGCGTGCTCATCTGGCGAAATCTTCACCGAGTGCTCGTCGTACTGCGAACCTACATGTATTCCACAAAACATTGTGAGTGCTGAATCATCAGAAAGAATATGATCAAACGAAGTCCAACTTGGCGGAAGTATATAAGTGAAACTTGAAACTGGAAATTTTTAGGCTTGCATCCAAAGCTGTGGACCGCCGTCTTGTCAATGTATGCCCGGTTTTGTGCGTGACAATGGCGTTTGTGTGGATCCGCGGCTATGCTCGAATATCGGGCCAACTACACCGAGTTACGGTATGTCAGCTCATATCAGAAACGCATTCATCAATCTCACAACAGCGCTGGCTTTCTGAGACGTATACATAGACCTATTTCGATAGTAGCTCGCCGACTTGGAAGCGGTTGATGCCTGCTGTTGATGTCGGGCAGCGCTGTCATTACGGTACTGCCCGCCATATGCCACCTCGCAAAAGCAGGAAAATGCAAAACTTGCCATTTCTCAAGCGAAATCCCACAAGAATAGTGAAATAATGCCGGCTCTTAGATAGGCGATTACAAAGCAAGTTAAAGGCGAAGGTCGTGCTCAGCCTTACTAAGGAGGTTCCTCCAGTGGGTGAAGGTGTGGGTCCGCTACTGTAGACCTTGCGGCGACTCAGCACCTTAAAACGTCCCAATAAGGTCAAAAGCGCCTACGATTTCGACTTGTCGACGCCCGCTCAATCCGTACACGTGCACCGCTTGCTATATTCTCCGTGCCGTATTGGTTGATCAGCTATGCACTCTCGACTCAATGTTCTTTCATCCTCTCCGCGACTCACATAATTTCTTACTTCGCCGATCTCTTATCTCTTATGCTTCTGACTTCTCCGCGGCGTAGAGCAAGAAGGTTCGTATTTTCTGTGTTTCTGACGATATCTTTCTTTCTTTTTCCACTTAGCCCATTTCCCATTCCGCGACGTTCGTTGAGCGAAATTTCACCGACAGAAATATTTTTCCGTTGACCTTTGTCATTAGCAATAATTTCTACAGCCAAGCGTCCTACCTCTAGGCGCAACTCCACACGTACATTGGACAAAAACAATTTAAAGAGGTCCTTTTTTGCTTTTTTTCCATCTCTTATTCATTTATGTAGTGACAGAGGAATCCTTAAGAAATAAACTTTAGTGGACGAACCTGTGACTCCGGTCTTGACAAGTTGTGATCAAGCCCTTGTCCGAATATTGTGCGTCACTGGTACCCACTGTGAAATTGTCAACGGTACACCTCAGTGCGTGCCAGATGCAGGTAAGACTATAAACCTTTTTGCAAGGTCACACTGAGGGACACGTCCACATGTAGCCGGGGCCCCGAATCCATTCAGTATCGCGGTGCCTTTGCTTCGCTATAGCGAAGACGCTGTTGCCAGTCGCTGTGAACGGTAAACAAAGAAGTGGGAACGGTATAAAAAAGATCTTATGTGCAAGGAAAATCCTGGTTTTCTTGAGAATATCAAAGAATTCGCCCCTTTTTCGCTGCTCCATCACTTATAAATTTCCAACGTAATTGGTCCTGGAGACTCTTCTGGAATATCCTGGCCTAATTGCTGATTGAGCTTGCAGGGCGCATCCCACGATGTGCTGACGTTCGAGTAAAGTGCGCGGCTGGAAATCATTGTGAGAACACACCAACTGGTATCACGTGCGCTCCCGATCCAGGTAGGCGGTTGTATAATAATTCGTGCTTGTGCTATCAGCGATATCACCTTAGGTGAGCCACTTGTTGGGGAAGTTTTGACTATGACCGCCTCTCCCCTTCCCCAACTTTCCGATCTTCTAATGGCCGATGGCTTCAGTAGTGCCGTTACACCTTTGTTGGCCTGGTCCTACTATGTATTCACCTACCCCAACCCTAATATCTCCAAAAGCGCTAAAGGAATGAAGCCAATAAGAAGTTAAATATTAGGGTGGTAAAAAAGTCCTGAGCCGTTTGACACTTTTTTGTTCTTTGCTTTTTTATTCCACGTAGAATGGAATCTACCCAACAATATAATCACCATTGCTACCCACTACAGAGTCCCACCTAATGTGCAGTTCAGCGACTTCCTTCTCCCAGAACAGAGCAGACTGAGAGTCAAAGAAATCGCTGACCGCTCTTCCAACTTCTTTACCTTTGGTGAATTCTTTCTTCGCTAGGGATCCCTTAAGGGGATAGAGTAAGTGATAATCAGAGAAGGCAATGTAAGGGGAATAGGGTTGATGGGGAACCGCGTCCCAGATCAGCTCTTCCAATTCTGCACGGGTCTCTTTAACTTTGTGGGGCCTGGCGTCATCGTGGAGTAGGTGGACAGAAGTTCGTCTCGGTCGTTTTTCTTGAACAGCGTCCGCTAGTTTCTAGAGCAGACTGGCGTAAATGCTGCCGGTAGCGGTATGTCTTTACGGGAGCATATCATAGTACAGCATTCCTCACGAATCCCAGAGGTAGCAAAGGAGACAGCTTTTGGGGTGAAGGTCCGATTTTGCTTGTGTCGGCAGGCCCTCTCTTCGAGGGAGCCACACGGCACCGTGCTTGTTAGAATCGTATAGGACCCCACTCTCATCTCTCGTAATCACGCCTTCCAAAAACCCTTTCGGTGCGGGCAAAGAAGGAGAAACTGACAAATGGGTACCCGCCTGAACCGCGTGCTATCGGTCAAGACATGAGGAATCCATTGAGTCACCACTTTCCTGTGGCGAGGTCGTGAAGGGGACCGAGGACTGTGGGATGGGTGCACCCGAGTCTTATCACAAGGCTGCGGGTGCTAACGTCCGGATCCTCTTCGACAGCGCCGAGAACGGTGGAGTCTTCTACCTTTTGTGGGCTTCCCAACCTTGTCTTTTCTTTGAAAGCCGTGTCTCCTCCTCGAAGCCTGCGAACCAGAGCTTGGCACTGATGATGGAAGTGGTGACCCTTCCCAATGCGATGCTGATAATGTTGACGGTTCCCACTGCTCCTGTGCCGCAGCGCGATTCATTGAAGATGATCGCTCGAAAGTGTTCTTGTGGAATCACCATCATTATTAAAGTTAAAGAAGGCAACCCGGCAATATATACCTATTGCGGAGAAGTATGATCGACAACGATAGTCTATCACGTAGCAGATTCTAGGTATCGACCAATAAGCGAAGTTCTGAGGAGCTTTTCAAAAATCGCCCAGAATTTCTTTCCACTAATTGTTACGCAGCATTATTTCCACCATTCTTCAATTGTTTTCTAACCTAATGCCAATTTACGATTCACCCTTAAATCAGCGATTTTTCGCTAAGACAACCACCTCCTCCAGAAGAGCTAGACTTCCTTGTCAAGAAAACCTGAACCTCCGATCATTATTGTTTTATTTATGAAGGAATTTAATAACAATATGCAGGGAGGAGGCTACAGAAAGATATGATCCAACCATCAAATAAAAGATAGATACCGTTACTTTTTGCAGTTTGTTCTGCCAACGAAGAATTCAACATATGTGCATCGGACTGTACGAAGTTATTACGCAATGGGAAGGGTAAGTGGTGAACCTCAAAGCTGGGTACCGAACAAGAGGCCCGTCGTGCAAGTATGCAGAGACGCAGACGGGTCGGCGGACAAGTGGCAGCACGCGCTGTAGCAATTTACGCGAAGTTAATTAATAAAATCACACTAGTCCAAAAAGCATACGCGCGTCCGCCCTGACCCTCTGCGTTCACGCTATTCTGGCCGCTCGACGGCTTCCTGTGCTGAGTACCCCTTCAAGGCCGAATGTCACTCAAAATGAAAGAAAAATGTAAGAGATTAGGGTAAGTTTCTCACCTCCCGGTGGTAAACGCACATTATCCCAAACATATGCTTGTTAGCCTTCTTACCGGACTCTGGGAGGCCAAGAACGTAAGTGTCATGCACGTTACGCTATCCTACCCAGGTTGAGGGGCAGAATCCTTAAAGGACGAATTCACGATGAAAAAGCAACCCATTTCAAATTAACCTAGGGATGGTGAGTGGTACACGAAAGAAGGAAGAACCATGAGAAACGGCCCAGAACCCGAGAAATGGTACCCCTTCCTTGCCCGTTGATTCGAGCATTGATGCGACTCTCATCGCTGTGCCCTCTTCAACACTACGCTCTCTCAGCTATCTAATCACTCGCCACGTATTGAACTACGGCGAGTGATCAGATGATCGGTGGGCGGAGATCGCCCCGCCAGCTTTGAGGCATGATAGGTCGCCGAGGTCAAATTTTTCCATGCGAATTGCGCGTCAGTTCGCACCCTCAGGAGGTCCGTGGGTCCCTCAACTAGGTCAGTTTCCCTTTCTTCGACCTTCATTCTAATCGTGAATTCCTCCTTTAAATTGAGCTTTTACCCTCACGAGAATTGCCCAAGAGGAGGCATATTTGTGATGTTGTTATTTATTTATTTATTTACTTATTTTTTTATTTATTTGCACTTCCATGTGGACGTACCACTGAATCCAGTATCTAAACTCAATGCAGCTATCAAGAAAAAAAAAGAAAAGTAATGAAAATTGACTCAAGGGAAACACAAAGCGTACCCGACTCGAGCGACGACCCGAAGTGTAGACGTTCGAGAAAAATAGCATTGTCAAAGGGAAGATGAATCTCAACAGGAGGAGAAGGCCTATGCCTAAGTGAGGCAGCAGCAGTTGGTCACGGCACAGTTACCTACACCAGTCAGCCATGGTGCTCTTTAGCGGCGCATCCTCGTAATAGGCACACGCTGGAACTTCAAAATAATTAGATCTATTTGAAGGTAAGCATTTGTTGAGAATTTTGAAAACTGCTTCGCTGGAAACCAAAATGCTCGAAGAGATTTTTCGTTCCTCTAATGACTAATGGGAAGGATGTGGCTTTTGAGACCTAAGATAGGTAACACCGTGGTAACATAGATCAAATTAAGGTGAAGGTTGAAGGTGATTTCATCATTTTTAGACCGGATTACGCAGTGGCTATAAACGAAAACGATGTTAACGAGACATCGAGTCTCGAGAGAGATAGAAAGACAGAACCGTAAAACCACTTTTATTCGATGATTGTGGAATGCTTACGCGAACAGTGTACAACCCGTACCGCCAGACATGGGGGACGCATAATAGTAGCTATGACGATTTTTCTTTCTTTCGTTCTCGACCGCTCCTTCTTCGGGCACGCCAAAAACGCAGGCCGCACATCTTCCAGGCCTCGCTGCTTTGGCTGGCCGTACATCTTCACGAGAGGGTCTGCCCATCTGGTGGGGGGTCTGCCTCTGGGCCTTGTTTTTCCCCTTGGGTACCAGTCAGTCACTCTCTTCGTCCAGCGATCATCGGTAAGTCTAGCCACATGACCGGCCCACCTCCGCTTGGAATTATAGATGGCATCGACGACGTCCTTCACCATCGTACGAGCGCGAATGGTGTCGTTGGGTATGCGGTCTTCCAAGTAGCTATGTCATGCTCACTAATTGAGAAAGTTTGTTGGTATTGTGCACAAGGTTCACCTCTGCAACCGACAACGCCACCCAAACCTGTCAATAGTGTGTGGCTAAAGCGGATTTCTTATGCAACAACAGCTGATTAACTCTTGCTCCGAAGGACTATGGTTCCCGCGAAACCTCAACCCTAGTGGCGGATCCGTGAAGGCAAGAATGTAGTGTCTATAGAAGGAGCAGCTAGGATACGGGCATCACTGCAAATTCTATAAATGTTTGGATAGCTACACTTCACCCTAACCCCAAAATCCTTAGGCTCAAGTACCTCAAGCTATCTATGCGGATCTGCTCTGCTTCTCATCTGCTCCGTCCGGTGTTCTGTTGTTTGAGGGAACGAAACCGTCACTCTGAGACCAATGACATTTGCAGGAGCCTATTAATAATGTATTCATACTAGAGGAAATGCAAGAAAGGCGTGCAAGTTTTCATAAGAAGTACTACCAGCGATAGAAGGTCAAGTTCTTTTCAATGCTGGTCGTCATAAATGATGTTTAGCCACTAAACTAGAACTCGAACCAGGACATTGCTCTTTCTTATGGCTCCTGCAAATGTACCATAGAAAAGCGAACAGGGCTGCAAATGCGACCTCTGAGCGGACGGATAACCCAGCTGCCTCGGGGAGCCGAGCTCCGGGTTTCGGCCGAGGTAGTGGGTTCTGGAAGAATTTTATGTAACTCGGCATTCCTGCTATATTGTACAGGATCGTCTAAAGACAGCGAACAAGTTAACGAGAGAAATCCAATTAGGAAACTATAGTGCCTAATTCTACTGAATTTTTGGATTTTCTGTTACACGGTATCTCGAATGAATCGGACCCGCTTAAATGCCGCCTTATATAGAAGGATGCAACTTATTCAGGCTTTCTTCATCTCGCAGTACTGTAGTTTCAACGCAAGAGCACGTAGTGCTCGTTTCCGGAGATTAACAGTGACCCAAAGCTTGGAAAAATGAAAATCATGGTTTCTCTAGCCATCATCAGGTGGAATGCCTACTCAATTATGTCAACGGATGTTCGTTCATAATGTGAGTAGGCGCCATGGGAAAGTTTTAGTGTACCCTCATGTAGCTGGGACATTTCAACTCCTGAAGAGCGATTTAAATAGATTCGTGAGTTTATCTGCGTATGCGTACGTATGGCGCAATGCATGTGGCTCGATTTATATGATCGTCTCATGCTAAAAGCAGTCATACTATCAGCTCTGAAGGAGTTTTCATGAGAACACGTAGTCAACCTTTTTCCGTTCGTAACAGCCTGAAGGACGTATTCGATGATTGGTTGTGGGAGGAGCGGACCTTGCTCCTGGCTTTTATTGTCGCGAAATATGGTCATTTCCCACTACGACCCGTTTAGCCAAATTGGGTCACAGTCAAACTTACTCAGGTTCACCGGAACCTCAAGATCTTATGATATTAGGTATTCTCTAAGTGAGCATTTCCAGCCATGTACTACACAGTGCTTGCCAGCCAAGTGCCAATGCAAGAGCGGATTCGTACGTGAAGGGACAATGCATCGATCCGAACACTTGCCCTAACATCCAAAAAGTATCCACCACTACACTGAGCTACGGTAATTTCTCTATTTCATTTCACTTCCTCTTATTTTTGTCATCCCTACTGAACACTCCCATACAAGCTTTAGTTGATGAGCCTGTTACTCCGCTGTTAACATCATGCAACCAAGCCCTTATCCTTATACAGTGTGTCACTGGATTCCACTGCGAAATCGTTGACGGAAGACCTCAATGCGTGCCAGATGGCGTGCCAGATGCAGGTAAAAAGTACACATTTTCTGCACCCAGGATTAGGGTAGCACCACAAGTGTGGCTGGCGTCTCCGGGAGATATGCTCTTCTCATTTTTTACTTTTGATGACTGAAAACTAAAACAGGGTCAACCGTGCGTTGGGAACTATTTTGGGACAGGCTCGTAATTCGTAGTTTGATTTGAAAAGCGTTAAGGAACGTGTGTGAGAAAGAAAGATTGCCAACATATTGCATGACCCGCCGTTTTGGACGGAAGTGGGGCGGGTTTAGCTGTGGTGTCGACTGGTCTCAGAATCAAATACTGTAGAAACAGCCATGATGGCGAGGGAGGTAGTTGATGTAGGACGAAGAGTTGCAGTGATGAGGGAGCCTCTCTGAGTCTCATAGTGATGGTGAGGGGTCGCATCAAGGCCCCCTAAAGGCATGGAGCGTCGCACGTAATTTCTGAAATTAAATGCGAACATCACGGTTACCTGATCTAGAAGAACCTATACGTCGGGCAGCAACGCGGTGGCCCAACCGCCTACAGTAATGTGGACTCGTTGAACTAATTACTATATTTCCAGGAAATACCGCGGTTAGTCAATACAAGGCCCACATCAGTGACTTGCGCCTCAACGCTTTGCGAAGAGGGAACTTATTGTGAAGACATCGACGGAAGACCTCAGTGCCTGAAGATTCCAGGTATGTTTGATGAAGGTTTTCATAATGGTTACAGTACCTCAACCTCAACCCTCATAGCTCGTGGGAGTATTGGAATTACGAGGAATACTGTAATGGTAGAGGCTAGGAGATAACGGTGGATTCTTTATTCATGTTTGACTAAAGACCTCTCCAACTTTCCTCTTCTTGTAACCTGGGCATGTTAATTGTAAGTTTGTTAGTTTTCTCGTGCTTACGGGGTCGTTAGGTCGAACTTTTGCTCAGCGGCCTGACATTTCGAATGAATCGTCGACCCGGGGCCAACGGTTCCACCATTCGAGCGGATAGATTGCTTGTTGCTGTCCGTTGTTGTTATAACTGACCAACGCACTTGTGTGGTACATAGCGGACCTCTCCGCTCAAATGATGGAACCTGTCGGCCTCTGAAGATGACGATTCAGTCGCAGCGTCAGGCCACGGAATGAAACTTCAGCCTAACAACCTCGTAAGGCACATAAAAACCAACAACCTTGATAAAAGACCCTTATATAGATTTTATAAACTAAATTTACAACAGGGCCGTATCACAGCACTTTCGAGAATTGTGATAGTTTCTAGGAAATAATGTCTGAGTAATAAACTATCTTATAAATAGATTTCAAGCCGAGAAAAAGCAAAAGTTGATGTTTTATGAAAAACCTTGAACTGTCCCCTACTGGTTCTTCAATTTGTTTTTGACTTCGCCTGCTGTAATGGCAGGGGTTCAAATAATAAAAAAGAAACATACGATGGCAAAATATTAGGTTCTCACAGGCCCGTGTGCAGCCGCATTCTGTGCCAGTGGTGAGTGTATCGAATACGGCGACACTCTTGGGTGCTTCAACACTAGTGAGTTTTTAGCACACAAGTTGGATTGAAAATGCCTTCCTCGACTTGGTAATGTGGTTAGGGTAGTGTGGTCAAATACAAAAATTCAAGTCCAAAAAGTTCCGCTTATGGAAAGCAGGGAACAGATCCAAGCTTTTGGATGATCGCTTGTTGACCGTTTTTCTTTGCTGTTATTTCTGGAGGTACGAGCTCATCCCGAGGAAATGTTTACCAAAACGAGAGGGTACTCGACAGGAGGCCCGTCGCGCGGCGAGAAGGCAGTAGACGGGTCAGCGGACGAGTCGCAGCGCGTACTGTAGCGATTTAGGTCGAGATGAATGTAATGTACTACAGCTACAGCGCACAGTACGCGCTGCAACTCGTCCGCTGACGCGTCTGCGTCTCTGCCTTGTCGCCTCGCCCGCGCCGCGCCCGCCTGCGCGACGGGCCTCCTGCTAACTCTCGAAAACCCATCCATCCATGATTGTCATTTTCCAAAGGAAGTGAGGAGGCCACGAGGGCATGGGTGATCACAGGCGAAACTATCCCATTTGCCCCTGACAGTGGTCTCCAATGCACAATTTTGGCGCAACCTTTGCGATGGTGAGCTAGTCTTCCTTAAGCGTATTAGTGAAGGGGAATTTCTTACAGGAAATGTTGATAGATATGACTTAGTTGAATGCAAAACACGCATACACTATGAAATATGTCCTTTCAGACTCAATTGTTATTCCAGCCATGTGGCGCTAATGAGGAATTTCCGACAATGTGCGTCATGTGAGCCAACATGTGGTCCTATCGTGGTATGTTCTGTTCTGCTGAAAGACGTTCTTGACGTATTGAGAGGTTTTTGGCATCAACCCTTTTGGGATGCTCTACAAATTCCCTACTATTCACCATCATAGAGTCATTTGGTGTGAGATGTTACACAACAATTTGCGCAGGCCTGCCTGCGTGCTGGTTTTTTCAATCCCCTGATGAATTCGGGTCAAATTAACCGATCCCAAGGATTGGAACGCTTTAATGGATCGGGCAAGATTCTGTACAAGCCTTGACCGCGGACCGTGCGATCGGAATGCTGCGTCACTTACCACTGTAATCCTTCGCCCTACTCTCAGGATGCCGCTAAAGAACTAAATTATATAAGTTTGATAACGAACTCTTCTGGTTGATGTCCTTTGGAGAGTTTACCCATTGCCCTTTCGCCGTGGGTAACCCATTTCTGCGAACTCACCAGGAAGGTCTTTCAGGGCGTGACGAGCTTTTTGAAAACGGTCTTTTGCATGATATAGGGGCAGATGCGGGAACCACAGAACCATGTTTAATTTTTCCTGAACGGCCCTCTGAATACCAGAAAAGGGGTCCCTAGTTCGATTCCTCGTGGTGACAAATTTTTGCATTTCGAGTTGACGTTCCAAAATTCGCGCAAAATGGAGTTAGCATGAATAATTAGTACCATATTCATGATTAGGGCCGTCAGTAACTCCTACAAAAAGACTTTGACTTAAAAATTGGTGTGAGAGGCGTGACATCAAGCAGCCCCACTGTGGTGTCACACCTTTTTCACCAGTTTTTTAATCAAAGTCTATTTGTAAGGGTTACTGACGGTCCTAATCATGAATATGGTACTAATTATTCATGCTAACTCCATTTTGCGCGAATTTTGGAACGTCAACTCGAAATGCAAAAATTTGTCACCACGAGGAATCGAACTAGGGACCCCTTTTCTGGTATTCAGAGGGCCGTTCAGGAAAAATTGAACATGGTTCTGTGGTTCCCGCATCTGCCCCTATATCATGCAAAAGACCGTTTTCAAAAAGCTTGTCACGCCCTGAAAGACCTTCCTGGTAAGAGTGTTCCATGTCCACATTCTTGGCGCCCTTACGGAAAATTGCTATAGTTGAAAGCGTTTTTTCAGTAATGGTATGAGTAAGATGTCATGAATTTCCAAACGCAGATTCGAATATTGAAATTCTTAAAGTTTCTAACGTTGGAAAAAAAAAAACCTCAACGGTTATTATTGGTATGCGTCGTCGCTAGCGTGTCCGCAACCCAGACTCTTGCTCAAGAGCACGGTCAAATAGATCGTTTATTGCTGTTGCCCAAGTGGAGAATTTGCCCACCTGGGGTAAGGACGCGACCCCTACTTCTATGATTCATCGGATTACGATATCACTCAGAAATTGTTGGCTCCTCGCAGACGTTCGAAATATATTGCTCAACACGGTGATCGAATCTGTGGACACCTAGTTTAAACGGCGAAGATTCATGGGATTAAATTAAAATGGGGAAAAAGAGTTTCAGTTAATAGGTATGGGTGGAGGTGGTCTGTAAAAGAGAAGGAAAGCAAACGAAACCACCGATTACGCCCCGTACAGAGACCTCCCCTATTTCAGCCACATTCCACCTTGGGATAGAGAAGAGGCGAATTGGACGAGTTTCACGAACCTAACTCTACTTGCTCCAGTGTCAATAACATTGGATCGCGCTGGGACCACTGCCTCAAATGCGCCCGCGCTTTTCAAGCAGCGCCACGTGGCAACCGACAGCGAAGGGTGGGGCTTGCGGACGAAGGGTGTGAGTTGCGGGTTGGGCGAGCTCTTGCGCCTTTGGTCGCGTGGGCCCCGGTGTTGCCTCAGAATTCGCCAGGGATGGGTTTGCCGTTGGTGTGTTGTCTGTGGCGAGCCGCGCTCGGGGATGTGGGGGTGGCGATGAGTTGCGGGTTGGACGAGCTCCTTGCGCCTTTTGTCGCGTACTTTCAAGCCGCAAAAGGGGCCCGACATCAACACTTGTCCACCTGCCTACTACCCCCTGGATGGAACACGCGAGCCCGCCTGATCGCGGAGCGTGCCTTTAAGACTATAATTAGCCGTTGCAGCAGCAACGACCTCGGCCATGATCAGTTTTTCTGCATGAAAGATTTCTGGTAATCAGAAGATGAAGAAGGTTCAGTGAACAGTCGCCGCGGCTACACGAAGAGCACAAAAAGTCGTTCCAAACTAGAACCCGTCAAGATTCTACTTCACTAAAAAAGCGCCCATTTGTCATGTTATGATGTTCGTCCATAGTCGACCGGGGTCACAGGAAAACCGACAAATCTTACTGCACCTCAGTCAATCCAATCCCTGTAACCAGGTGAGGATACCTCTTGAATATCTCCTTGCATGGGGAATGGCTTGTTAGCCGCGCACGAGTAAGGCTAACCATAAGCTTTTTGCCGCTGTGGTTATCAGTGCTGTGCTGCGGTCACAGCCTAGAATTGGGTCAGACTTGGGCATAGGCTCGAGCCTATGCTTGAATCTGGGTTTTGTTAGGCATAGACTCGCTAAGAACAAATTAGAGGTAACCCGCCTCAACCGAGACACTTTGTATGCACTTCGCCCTCCTCCCCCCTCCCCCAGG